CGTGATTCATAAATAATACAGCTTTTTTGGGTTAGATCGCGTAGATATTTACTGTATGTGAGCCAGTCAGTCAGTCATCCCTTGACACATGGGTCTGTCCCGTGACCTCATGCCAGCGAACCTTCGACACTTCACGTAGCCTTAAAGTGCGCATAGCCTGGCACAAGCGCCGTGTTGACATCACCGCCACTTAGTGGCGAATGGCGGTTGTAGTTGGGTCATGTAAGTGTGAATCTGGGGTGTTCGTGTGAGTGTTTGTGAGTCTATGAATCTCAGTGGCCATGACCTGAGGACGAGGCACGGAATAGAAGTCAGTGGAGCGATGAGCTCCGGGCACAGCCATCGTGGAATTTGCGTCTCAGAGAAAGAAGGTGGATCTTCTCTTCTCTTATTGCTGCTGCTGCACGATGGCTGCAGCGATACGTTCAGGAGCCGATTGCCAAAAGTCGCGGTGTGCCAGCCACGAGGGGGCTTCAGGAGTTAGACCCCGGGGGTCACGGCAACCAAAGTAAAAAGAGGAGACATTTTGTCGAATTCGGTCAAGAAAAAAAGAAGCCCCTCGATATTCCAAGAGCCGCAATGCAGTGTGTGTGGTGAACACGAGACGGTGGGGCCTTGATGCATCACGTCACGAGGCAGTGCTTGAAGAGCCACCGCGTGCGGCTCCCGAACCGCAGGTCGCCGACCCCTGAGTTCGAGTTTCTGTGGTTTCGCTCTTCCTCCTCGATTGAAGGGGCGCAGACTGCCAGTGGCTTACGCTGTGATCCGTTGCTTGGGTTACGTGGCCACAATCGCACTCCTGCGGCTTGAGTTTAATTTTCCATTCTAAAAACTAAACTAAACTTTGTCTTTTATTTACCAGTATAGAGCTCTTTTTAAAAAATTACCTGCCCACATACGATAGCTCAAGGAAGTGACTTATCATGTAGATATTTAGAGCAGCCAAATAATAGAAACGTATGTTTCTAAATGTGAAGGGAAAATCGGAGGGCCCTGAAAAAATCCACGTGACCACGTGGAGAGAGACATGAAAACTCCAGATATGCATGCGTCTTCGAGATCGGGATCGAACCCACGGCCTCCTGCATCCCAGGCGGGATATATAACATCTCCTAGCCACCGTGGCGCCCATTCATGAACAAGATGTGGACGCCGGCCGGATGACAACGGTTGCACCGGCGTCGAGAAGCGCTTCTGTGGCCGTCTGGAACGCTCTTCCTTCCGATATTAGAAAGCCACTGGGAGCGATGCACTTTGAAATGTAGATTGAAAACAAATTTCTCTACAACTGATGTTTCTGTTGAGTTGTCCTTCTCCCGCACCTCCGATTAGTACGGTTGGCTACGTACGGTGCGATAGAAGTTCAACAAACATAATAAGCCAAGCGGTGTGCTCGAGAGGCGCGGCGCGCATCGGCACGAAGTAAACACCCGGCGGTGCTTCTGTGAAGGTTGCGATCCGTAACACGGGGCCCGACGTCTCAACGGCCGCGACGAACAACGCGGAGGGAGCGCGGCCCTCGGCGGGCCGCGCTCCCTCGGGTGCCGAGGGTCAGCGCGGGGTGGCCTGGCAGAGCTTCCGCAGGAAAGGGCGTCGCCGCTCCGCCTTTTGTTTCGCTGCGTCTCTCGCCATGACCTTTCCGCTCCTCCGCATCCTGTTTTTCGGTTTTATTTTAGCTCCGCCGACGTCCCCTTTAACTCCCCGGCACAGCTACACCCCCCCCCCACTCCCTGGCTCCCAACTTTCATTCGGGATCCGGCAACGGTTGTTGGTCGCGAGCAACTGAAATCGCTCCCGACGTCGCACGTCCACCTTTTGTCCTCATCCGAGCGGGTCGGTTGACTCGCAACGGATTCGCTTGCCGCGCCGCGGACAATGCTGTCCGCAAGCGGTTGCGAGGGGGTCGAGGCCGACTCGGACTCCTCAAGCCGTCGAACCGCCCGGCCATCTGTCGCGACGAGTCGCGTTGCCTTCGCGCTCTCCGTCGCGGTTGACCTCAGCTCTGAATGCGCCATTGAGTGGCCTTGTCGTGCAACTGATCGCTCGGGTTTGGCCCTGGCCTCAGTCGTCCATTGCGACTCGGTGGACACGGGGGCATTCGGGTGGCGCAGTGGTGGCACACAACAAGAAGCGCACGGGTTCGATTCCTAACTCGGGTGCCTTTTAAAATCCTTTATATTAAGTTCACTTGCTTGCTTGCGCGCTTACGACCGTGCAAATCTTTCGGTCGTTTTTTAACCCACTTCCCGTGATCCAATCGAGCTGACATTTTGCACACAGACTCGTTGTGCGTGACAATTTATTTTCGTGAAAAAAGATTTCCATAACTTTACACTTTTTAGGAAAAAAAATATATATTTAATTACCAATTGCTTAATGGTGGCAGGCAATCATCTGACCCATAGGTGGCAGCCATCTCAAGCCAGAGGACGAGAGGACTCTAGTCGCCACGCATATAAAGGATTTATAGTGAAAAACTTTGTTTTTACGGGTTAATTTTTTACGTGTGGAATTTGCACGTCCTCCCCCTGTTCTGCATCGGTTTCCTCCGTGGTCTTCAGTTTGCTCCGAGAGCTTAAACACAAATACAGTGGCATTTCTGTTGGCCAAACATCCCAACGGAGCAGAACTCTCCTGATACGGAGTTTTCGGATTCGGCGTGGCTCTTCTGGGTAATATATTTTGAAATGATTTTTATTAAACGGCAACAGACGTTTGATTACGGGGAAGCGCGTTTTAAAGTTGGGAAGTTTACCTTTACGAGAAACTGGCACGGGTTTAAAAATCCAGACAAATCGAAACGAGCGCCTGGGGATGTGTTTGATGTGAGCACAGTGGAAGCCCATCCCGGGGCAAATGTTGAGAGCCATGCCGCCACAACGAGCCCCGTGGGCCGTCCGGCTTCCGGCTCGTGCTGCGAAACGTCGGACATTAAAACGAAACTAGTTTTTATTTTACCAGGGAAGGCCTCACTGAGCTATGTAGCTCTTTTCCAGAAGCGACCTGGCTATCACAAATGATAGCTCAACGAAGTGAATCATCACGTGGGATTTTATAACAGCCAAATACTATTAACACGTGATGTTGATTCTAAATGTGGAGGGAAAAACCGGAGGATCCAGAGAAAAATCCACGCGACCACGGGGAGAGAGAGAGACACGCAAACTCCAAATATACAGCAGCAGGCGTCAGGGTCGGGATCAAACCCACGACCTCTTCCATACCAGGCGAGGTGGTTAACATCTCCTAGCCACCGTGGCGCCCCTGAAACATCGCGCAGCACCGCACGCGGCTGGACTCTACGACCGCTGGGTCCGGTCGTGGCTGCGACGCGGCCCAGCGGTGGCGCGCTCGCCCCTCGTTCCCGGAGGTTCGCGGTTTGACTCCAGCACCCCCCCGCCCCCCTCCACGGTAAACGCTGTGGGCGTTTGGTCGCTCGGAGGCTGTGCGCGATTCCTGCTTCGCGGTGGTTACGAATACAGATTCCAGTGACGTCATTGGCAAGAAGTGAGCCGTGTACTGTACTGTTACGCATATGAAATAAAAGTAACGTGTGTAAATTTCGATTTAAAGCTTTCGTGACTGCAGGGATTCATCTTCTTGGTTCTTTCGGTAAAGTCACGTAGAAGGGAAATAATAAAATAAAAATAATAAAACATAATCAAATAATAATATTATATTATGGCCGAAACGTCGTGAGAATTATTTTATTATGTTTTATTTTTATTATTTTATTATTTCCCTTCTACGTGACTTTACCGAAAGAACGAAGAAGAGTAACGTGTGTGTTGAACTTCTTTCGCACCGTACGTAGTCAACCATGCCCATCGGAGGTGCGGCGTCAATAAAGTCGAAGTTCGTTCCGTGTCACTTTGGCGCGCGGAAGCGACGACAAATGTGGCCGCTCGGTGTCTCGCGGCAGCTGCGATTTGAGCGGAGGTCGTCTGTGAAACAAGGGCCGTGTTGGGTTCGGGCACGCAATGATCAGCTGCTCTGGTCTATCCACTGCTGGATGAACCCCCCCCCCTCCTCCAAAACAAAAAGCCGCCACCGCCACCTCTCATGAGCCTGCGATGCAACAACCCACGTGGCATCGACCTGCGCACGACGATCTGATGTCACATTTTTTTTTTATTAAAAACGAATTTCTTGAGAAATGCTTTTTGTGTTTTGCACGGTTGTCTACGTACGGTGCAAAAGAAGCTCAACATATATACATAGGGGGAACACCATGCATCCGTACATGGCTCCGTCTCCTTTGGTGGATGTCCTCGGGCGCATTCCATTCCTTGTACATATCGTGATGCAACCTCTCCCACACCTCCCCTTGCGTAGATCCCTGCTGACTACATGTCTCGTGTCGTCTTCCGATCTCGTCTCATTCACTCGCATCTGAGAAGCTCTCAATGTGGAGGGCCACTACGCGACCTACCCAGTGTCCCACCCAGCTTGTCTCAGTGTCCCACCCAACGTGTCTCACCCAGCGTGTCCCACCCAGCGTGTCTCACCCAGCGTGTCCCATCCAGCGTGTCTCAGTGTCCCACCCAGCGTGTCCCACCCAGCGTGTCCCACCCAGCGTGTCCCACCCAGCGCGGCGGTTTTTGAAGATTCACATCTACGCCACTCACCTGCCACGTTCTACTTCCGCAGCTGTGCGTCGCTTCTCCCGTCTTGCCACCGGATTCCCAGCATCCGCCTCGCACACCGCCTGCAGAAGCTGCTGGAGCCATACCTCGAGTCCTCTCTGATCCACGTGGCCGTGCAGACGGCGGCAGCAGCAGCACCCCCCCCCCCCACCCCGTTTGGGACCTTTATTGCCAGTATCAAAATATAAGAACAGCTTTGACCCTTTCTTGTCTGAATGTTCACCACAAGTAGTGTGTGTGGGTAATGCAGACGGGATTCCTTGCAAAAGGTTTCTGTTTGCTGCTTTAACATCTTAACACAACAACTGTTTTATTTCCAGAAAGGGTGAAACCCCTTGCCTCGAACGCCCCCCCCCTTCTCCACGCGATGGCCTCCGTGCCTCGCCGTGACAAAGCGCGCCTGGACACGAGCGGTGGTGGCGAGGAGCGCTTTATTGGTCACGCGACGCGACGGCGCGACGTGGTGGCCGACAGCGGCCCTCGTGGGCCCCCGGCTACAGTGTTGCTACCTGGGACGCATTCGCACTCAGCCGCACAACCACAACCACGGCTGGTGGCGACGCGCGCCGACGCGGCGAGTGACAGTGTTCATGGCAGCGGTAAAACACAGCCCGACTATTGACGAGAGGTGTGCGCTCGTCAGTAAAGTTTGGTAAACCAGAGAGCCTCCCTCCAGTTCATATATTTATGTTTATATGTTTTGGCCTCTTCTCCCACGCTGGCCAAATGTCTTGGACGACGAGGGAGTGACCCACACTTAACCCCACCTGGAGATCGACTAACTACGGTGGTGGTGCTGTTGCTGCTGATAAACCCATTGAAACTCATGGTTGGACAGAGGCGCAGGGGATTTAAGGAAATGTCCCCATCGTGTGAGCTGCTGCGCTGATCTCAGCCAATGTGAGTGAGACAAGGAGGGAACTGAGCGGAGGGGATTCCGCTCCCTCTCAGACTCATCAGCAAAGCGTGGCCGGGGGACACAAACTACAATGAAAGACTCACGGGTCAATGGTTGGTGGGACCTAGATCAGTGTTCTCCACTCATTTTCAAAGGGGGGTGCCACTTTTACAGATAAGACGTCATCAGTGTGAGGGCCGCCACACATTTGAAACTATTGTTGGGTTTTACAGCAGCACGATGACGATAATGATGGGGGGTCTTGTCACGTGTTGTGTCTTGTCGGGGTCCACACGTCGGGGGCCGCCAGTGGCCCGCGAGCTTTGCAGTGAAGAACGCCTCGACGGACGCTCGTGCATCCATCACTGGAGGTTCAGTGACTCCGCACATCATCGTTCGTGGATCGTGGTCCCGGTTCCTCTGCCCCCCCCCCCACTCCCATCGCACTGCAGCGGCCGCGAGCCGCGTGGTAGGGTGGCCGCTTCCCGGGGCACCGCGCGGAGGCTTCGCGCACGCCGAGTGGTGGGAACTGGGGGGGGGCTGTGCGTGGTCGCGACATCACCACGTCAGCCGCCGTGCACACGCCTAGGACATGCTTGGCCACGCGTGTCGTGGAATTATCTTAATTTACACGGCTAGAGGAGCATTACAAAATATAATACCGATGCCAGCATCATACGATACACCGATACCCTAACTATTGCTTTACAAGTAACAAAATACAAAACAAACCGCGCGACACTGTATGGCTTAGGGTATACAGACATTACTCGTATAAAATATAGTTTGCGATTTAGTCTACGGGACGTTATGTTTGACCTACAGCGGATACCGCGAGATTCTTCGGGAATAAAAAAAACCCCTCGATTGCTCGCTCCGGGCGGGGGGGGGGGCAGCGGGGCGGGGCTCTGGTGAGCAGCGCCACTCTCTTCACAGTGCTCGCTGCGTCGCCAGTCACAACCCCGAACCAGCACCATGGGATAGCGCACGATCCGGGGTCGTGGCGACCGATCGCAGTCGATGATTGGTGTGGCGCGCAATCCACTGGCCTCGCCGCGCGTCGCTGAGCAGGAGACGCTCGAAAGAATCGCGTCTCGTCTCCGTCTCGAGCCACCGGTTGTGCGGCTGCCCACAAACGGTTGCGGAGGACGTCGGCGTCTCAGCGACTCCGTGGCGAGTGAGCGAGTTGTCGGGGTGACGCAGTGTCTGTTGGCTACAGCCTCTTAGAAAAAATATATATTTCAGAGAGAATCTTCGTAAAAAAAATCACTCCACACATTCGGCAATAACACAGTGGCGTTAAAACGGAAACAGTATTTATAGGGCGATGTTTCGGGTCATGCCCCTTCTCCATAGCACGCAGATCGATCATCTTTGTGCTCTGAAAAAAAGGTAGCAATTTCCAGAAACGTCGCCTGCTTGTATATATATATTTTTGTTCTGCCTGTGCCATCCCTGCCGAGGCAGTGGTTACTACAATCACGTCAAGGCTTTTGGATGATAGCACCATGGGGCTGGGGATCGCTACTGCCTGCAGTACCCCTCCCTGCCACGCAGCCCCGCACGTGCAGGGGGTCAGCGGCACAGGGGTCCGTGCGGACACGGGGAGGCGGCGGGGGGGGACTGTCCACCGCCGTTCCTAAAATTCCGCAAACGGCAACTCAGCGAGCATCCCAGAGGTCAAGGCTCGCACGCTGGTGGTCACGTGGCGGGGTCGTGACCCCCAGTGTGTCACGCTAACCAATCCCTGCGCGGGGGGGGGGATGCGTCGAAATACAAGTGGGCCTCCGCGCTTTTTCCACTGCGGAAGCCGAGCCATGCCTGACCAAGATGATTCAGTGCCGACGTATGGCCCTACTGAGCCCCGAACCAGATATCAGATGTCGTGTGGGGGCCCATCATGGTTGGATTCCAGCTCGGCAAAACAGCCGGTGGAAAACCTCACCTAGTGCGAGGGACCTGCACTGGCTCGGATCACAAGTGGCAGTGGAAAAAAATAATCTGTGACGGAATTGAGGAACGTGTCCAGAGTCAAAGAACGTGTCCACGATCAGGCTGCGGGACGGGCGGCGACGCAGGCGCGGGAGCCCGCTCCGACTGCACGAACCCCACGGGAACGGAGTCCGTGCCGCGCGAGCCCACGTGACGTGTGGCGGCGCCTGCCGGCACTCCAGGCAGCCAGAAGCCTGAGGCAGCGGCGTTCATGTGGCGATGCGGAGAGGGTGAACGCTTCCACCCACGGTGGGTGACGGTGGGCGACGTTGCTCCCTCCCCAGCCCGTGGGACTCGCCCAAGCCACCGACTTCAACGCGGGTCACCAGGGTTCGTGGCATGGCGAGCGACGAGCCGCTCCCAATTCACCACGCGACGTCGTTTGGAGATGGTGGGTGGGGATGTGGGAGAGGGGGGAGGGCGGTGGTGCGCGATTCGGTAACCGCAAGCATGGGAGCCTCGCTCTCGGTTGGCGCCGCACCGGGCGCCGCTCTGAGCACCACCGTGGGGCCCCGCAGCTCGGAGTGGTCCCGCGGTGGCCGCGGTTCGGCGCCGGGGCGGCGCGTTCCTCGTGCTCCGATCCGTTCTCATCCTCCATTTCCAAATTCACCTCAAATTGAGCCCCCGACCCCCCTTGATTCCCTCCACCCCTCCCTCTCTCTTTCTCATTGAGCCTGCAATGAGCACTGCGCTCATTCAGAACTGAGACACCGACCTGAGAAGTGGCGATAGCTGCTGTGGCCTGCCGGGCCAACCAGTGGCTGATAGATTTGGTTTAATTGCGCCCATTTAAGATCGGCACAGGAGCGAGTGACGGTGATGATGATTTGCGTGAGCCACGGGCGACGGGTCCAATACGTCGGTCAGTCAGTGTGTACGTTTGTCACTGCCGGCTGTAATCACGAGTCCAGTCCAATCTCGAATGCGCCGCCGCGCTGATCACGTGCCCAGCGTGCACCTTCTAGAGTAACAACAGCGCCGCTGTCTTTCAGTCTTTTGCAACAACGGCTCGATACTCGAGGACGGATCGCGAACGGGGCCAGAGAGCGCCGAAAGCGGTGATCGTCAATCGTGCCCAGAGCGCGGTGCGACGGCCCCCAGCCGGTCACAGGGGTGAGCCGCTCACCACGAGTGAGGCTCTCGCGTCCGGCTGAGAACACGGCGGCAGGAGAGCGGTGCGAGAGCTGCCGCTGCTGGTGGATCGTCCGAGCAGAGTTGGCTTTGCGTGCGGTTGACTACCCTGGGGTCCTCTTTGAAGACAGCGGCCGTGCCCACATCCTGACGACGCCGATGACCTCACCGAGCCGGACGCCCGCCACCGCGTAGCCAGCGGCGGCACGTGTGGTAAAACAGGCGACAATTCCCCTCCCCCACCCCACCCGACCCCACCCCCACCTCCCCCAACTAAAGTCACGCGGCTCACGACTCGATTTCCCGGACGGTCGGACATCCGCACGCCGGTCGGCGGCCGCGAAGTTCCGACGGCCACGAAAAATGGACGATAAACCCGGGGCAGAGGAACCGGGGCAGAGGAACCGGGGCCGCCGCCAATGCCACCAGGCCGCCGGGTCAGGGCTTGCTGTGCTCGGCGAGGCCGACCCCCAGCATGGCATGCAGCTCCTGCGGGGAGTAGCCCAGGAGGCTGTGCAGGTCGCAGGCGAAGCGGTAGACGTAGCGCTTGCCCGACGACTTGTACAGCAGGTTCTTGTGGTAGTAGTAGCGCAGCGCGCGGCTCAGCTTCTCGTAGTTCATTTTGGGCTTGTTCTTGCGCTTGCCCCAGCGGCGCGCCACCTGCACCGCACACGCGCAGCCCCAGCGGCGGAGTTAGCGGCAGAGTTGGCGGCGGAGGTGGCGGTAGCGCCGGCGGCTCCGAGTGAACGAGCGGAGAGTAGACCGGGCGCTTGCCCCCACTGCGGTGGAGTGAACGTCTCCGGAACGTGGGAGTTGTGCCACCGCGTGCAAAGCGCACACGCACATACACGACGCGCTGGGTGGGTGTGGGCGGTTAATCAGTCGGGGTGGATGTGCGATGTCGTGCTGCCACAGCGGTGGAGCAGTCGGCGCACTGGACTTGTGATCCAGAGGTAGCCGGTTTGGCTCAATCTCCCGGCGCGGCGGCTGGAAACGTTGGGGAATGTTTCCTAACGACTCCCTCCCCCTACTTCTCTCCACCGAATGGTGTATGTGGGTATGGGTACGCCAATGGTGAATCAGCAGGTGGTGGGATAAAGAGTGGGCACACTGACCTCTACGTTCAAAGACCAACTACCCTCTGGAAGGAAGCGACTCCCTCGAGCGGAGGCAATTTGAACAATTAAAAATTTAACTCAATCATCTCTGCTCGGGACATCTTCTGTTTGTCTAAAACATGGCTTCCCTCGCAGATAAACACCAGCCTCACAGATTTATATATTCCAATTCTACAGACAATCACGAGGAGTTGTGTCAGTATATGTGTGGAAAATCACCTCTCTTGCACACAACTCACTCCCCCCCCCCCCCCCCTTAGCCGTACAGCAGGGAGGGGGTAGGGGGACAGGGGGATGGAGCCCCTCACCTCGTCGGGGTCGGACAGCTTGAACTCCCAGCCGTCGCCGGTCCAGCTGATGAAGGGCTGGCACGCCGTGTCGGTCAGCAGCTCCAGCAGGAACTGCCACAGCTGTATGGGGCCGCTGCCTGCGGGGCGAGGGGGCCAAGCGTCAACGCTGGTGTGGAGAACGCTCACAGGGCATCGTGCCTCCCGCACGTGTGTGCGTGTGTGTGCGTGTGTGTGCATGTGTGTGTGTGCGTGTGTGCATGTGTGTGTGTGCATGTGTGCGTGTGTGTGTGTGTGTGCATGTTTGTGTGTGCATGTGTGTGGGTGTGTGCATGTGCGTATGTGTGCGTGTGGGGAGTGGTAGTGTCGTGGTTGGCGCGCTGCGTTATGAACATGACGGCTCGAGTTTGATTTCTGCTCACGGCCAACACCAGTGACGATTATCTAAACCGGTCCTGGGCCTCCCCGAGTGAGTCCCTGATGCGATAATGGGTAAACGTCGCCACTGGCGGCCGGGCATGGCGCTGGCCACCCACCCCCTCGCGTGGTGCCGTGCCGGCCTTCGCAGGTGCCGCTCGCTAACAGCACTTGCCACCGGGCTCCACGGGGGATCTGTGTGTGTGTGAGAGACGTCGCCAGCGCCCCACCTGTGTACCCCGCGAGGATCGCCGCCGGTATCACGGGCTTGCTGACGCTGCTCGCCTCCGCCGCGTCGCCCAGGTAATCGCGGAACGTGACCTGCGACTTCCCGCCGTCGGGATAGTAGCGGTCGTCCGCCAGCTTCGCCTCCGCGGAGCCGTAGCCCGCGGCCTTGGTGCCGAAGCGCCGCTTGTGCGCCGGCGCGAGCGGGCCGCGGCCCGGCGCGTCCGCCGCCGTGGCGAAGGAAGAGGAGGAGGGCTCGTAGGGGCCGCGGTAGTCGTCGAACGCCGCCGCCGCCGCTTTCCGTTGGCCCGGCTGCTCGAGGCTCGTGAAGTTGTCCGCCTCGAAGCTGCTGTAGCTCGGCACGCGCTGCAGGCCGCCCAGGGGTGATGGCATCCACCAGACGCGCTCGGGGCTGGGCACGCACTCGCCGCCAGCGCTGCCCTTGTCCGCAATCAGCTCGCCGAACGCTCCTGCGCAAAGGCAAAGATCCCCCGTTTAGCCTCAACAGTGCTGTTCGTGAGTAGCACCTATGCAGGTTGGCACGGCGCACAAGGGGGTCGGTGGCCAGCACCGCGCCTGACCGCCTTTGTCTCCCCAGTGAAAATGTTTTTTCACACCACACCGAGTTATCATCTCATAGGTCGAGCTGTGGGAGGCCCAGCACCGTGAGCGGGAATCGAACTCGGGTTGCCAGATTCATAGCGCAGCGTAGCACGAACCGCTACACGACCGCTCCCCCTGCGCACATGCACGCACGTACACGCGCACACACCGCGATCGTGAGCGACGCCCGCATGCTGTGCCAAACGTGCTCGGACCTCGTGCATCACTTGGCATGGCGCGACGCTGCTCGCCGCAGAGGCTCACGGTTCGAGCTCTGCGGTCGCCCTGGTCAATGCTGCCGGGGAGCCCGCGGAAGAAGTACGTCACGTGTTGGATGCGAACGATCCCATGACGTCCGCGTGAACTCCCGCGAGGGGTGCTCAGATTTCTAGTCTGGGCACTCCGAGGTCCCGGCGTGCCCAGAGATGGTGGCGCTACGATACCTCGTCCAGCCGACGTCACGCAGCATGACGGGGCAGCAGTAGCAGCAACGTGCCGGGCAGTGATGGAGCGTGGGGGGGGGGGGTGGGGGGTCGCTACCTTGAGTGGTGACGCCACCGCCTCCTCCCCCCAGCACGATCTGCGTGCCGCTCTCCTGCTTCACGGCGGTGGCGCGGAACATCTCCGGCGCGTGGCTCCCGCCGTGGGCCAGCCGACGGTCCCCGCCGTGGGCGGCCTCCGCGCTCCGTCGATCGCCGCCGCCGCCGTGGAAAAGTGCGACGGCGCCGGGCGGCGGCTCCCGAGCGCCGCACGGAGGCCCCGGCTGCATGCGCGCGTGCGCCAGCAGCCGGTAGTGGCAGTCCGCCTCCATCTCGCTCTGCTGGGACGGCGCCGCCACCACCACAGCAGGTTTATGCTGAGGTTGTTGTTGTTGATGATGATGATGCTGCGGTTGTTGTTGGTGATGCTGCGGTTGTTGTTGTTGCTGCTGCATGGCGGCGGCGGGGACGTAGAGTTTGGGTTTTGCGGCGGGGCCCGCGGGGGGCTCCGGGCGGGGGGCCGGGCCCTGCGAGGACGCCAGGCACAGCACCTCCTCCCACGTGATGTCGTGCAGCGTCTGGAAGGACTCGCAGATGAAGCCCGGCTCGCTGGACTCGGCGTGCGGCACGTACTGGCTGCTCTCCAGGCCGTAGCCTGCGGAGGGATAACGCGCAGATGCTCTCTGTGACGACCACGATCGTCGTCGTCATTATCGCTAAGCGCGTTCGCAATTGTTCTCATAGCACGGCGGTCATCACGGACGCGGGCTGCCGTGCGTCACGGACGCGGGCCGTCGTGCGAGATGTGCGGACGCTCACCGCTCGTGAAGTTGAGGGAGCTGAGTTGGTCACAGTAGGAGGGAGTGGACGGCTCCATGAGGTAGTTCTTCATTTCCTCTTGCCACTCTGCGATGTAGGAAGAGGAACGAGGGGCAGGAGGAAGCAGGAGGAGGAATGAGCGCGATCGTGAGCCACGTGCGAGAGTGAGGGATCGCAGCCATGCTCCGCCAGGAATGTAAACAAGGGAATTTGTGTCCGTCCTGCCTCTCTCCCATGCCTCTCCTCTCTCCCTCTGCCTCTCGCTCTGCACAGATGTTTGCTCAAAGGTCACGGCGTACATTTTACGTCTCTCTCGCGTGCGGCCATAAAGCACGGGAGGCCGTCCGAGCCGCATCCGCGTGGTGGACGTACCGGCGGAAGCGTTCCGGCTCGCCCCTAACGTACACAAAGCGCCGCGTTCAGCCGTGACCCCACGCCCGAGAGTGCAGCCGTCTGGAGACGATCGCAAGGGTTTGGAAGTGGCCGTGACAGTCTGCGCCGCGCATCGTGAGAATCTCAAGACTCGCGGCTTATTTCGACGACGACGACAACAACAAAAACATCTTCATATAATCCAGACGATCCGCATTTTCCCTTCACCGACAGATTCCACATCCCCTCCTCCCCATAGGAAACGATAAATCCCAGCCAGGAGAAGCCTCCACAGTCCCTCGGCTCAGAGTGGAGACCAAGATGCTCGCAGTGCCTCAGGGTGCCGTGGCGGCGGCCAGGAGATGTTGACCACCTCGCCTGCTACACAGGAGCGCGTGGGTTCGATACCGACCCTGACGCCTGCTGCTGCTGTATACTTGGAGTTTGCGTGTTTTTCCCGCGTGGATCTTTCTCGGGGTCTTCCGGTTTCCCCCTCTACATTTAGAATCAACACCCGTTCAGCGTATTTGGCTGTTATAAATGTCCACGTGATAAGCCACTTCGGTTGGCTGCCATTTTGTGGTCAGGTCGCTTCTGAAAAACAGCTACATATAGCTCAGTGGGCCTGACCTGGTGAAATAAAAATAATAAACATAATTCAAATAAAAAGAATTCAAATAAAACCTGATTTACTGGACTTGGTAGCTCATGGCACTTTTCAACTCACCTCAACCGACATTATGATGTCACTGCACTTTTAAACCATCCAGATTGAAAACTAATTTCCTTAGAACTGCTTTTTGTGTTTAGTTTGTCATCCGATTTGCATGGTTGGCTACGTAGGGTGCGAGAGAAGTTCAACATACGTACAACCAGTGGCGTAGCAACGATCAGCTCACGGGGTGCGGCAATCAGTCCGATGGGTTCCCAATATTTGATTCGTCTCGCACCTCGGCTATTAGACATCGCGGCTCCTCTTGCCTAATCACATCATCGTTCAGATCAGGGTCTCGAACATTTAGCGCTGTACGGGCGCTCCGTCTTCGCAAAAGGCAGCCACGACAGCTCCGTAGTGCGGTGGCTGTCAAGGGGGGCCCCAACTCGTAGCGTTGGTCGCTGGGGGGCGGGGGGGGGGGCAAGGCACCCCCTGCTCCCACGCTCGCTATGCTTCCACATACAAACATTCCCAATGTCCTGCCACTCTCTACCCTCGGGGAGCCGTGGGGTGTCGTTGGAGCGGATCCCACCTCGGGGCGCAAGGTTTTATGTGCGCGGTGCCCGCGACGTTTATCACTTCCCGACGTGCCAGGAGACGGTTCAATTCGGGAACCGCAAATGCGAGGCGGCGCCACGCGGAGCGAAGCATCGAACGTCGCGAAGCGGCGTGACGGAAGCGAGGCGCCCGGGGCAACGCCCGCGCGGTGGTGCCAGCGGCACTGGAGCGGCGGCGCCGGTGCGGTACCTTGCGGGAGGTACTCGAGTGGAGAGGGGACCTCCTGGATCGCGAGCTCCATGTCTGCTCCTCCACGCTCGTGGCACGGGGTCTGCTCCTGCGGCGCGGTGCGCAGAGAGCGGCGGTGCCGGTGAGGGGCGGGCACGGGAATCCAGACACTCACGTGGAGATGAACAGAGAGGCCAAAAGACTCAGAGAGAGAGGCCAACACATTCACACAGAGAGGCCAACACATTCACACAGAGAGGCCAACACATTCACACAGAGAGGCCAACACATTCACACAGAGAGAGGCCAACACATTCACACAAATAGGCCAACAAGCGCGGGTCGCATGGGCCCTGGCGGAGTTGCACCACCTGCACACTCGACATCCGCAATACTGATTCTCATGCGGAGATCGCATTCTTCACATCGGCTGAGAGAATGGACCCCATCAGTTTTAGGCGATATCTGAACCGCCCACGCAGCTACACACACACACACACGTGGCTAGACACACACACTACTACACACACACACTGCTACACACACACATTGCTACACACACACACAGTGCTACACACACACACTACTACACACACACACAGTGCTACACACACACACTGCTACACACACACTGCTACACACACGCACAGCGCTACACACACACAGCGCTACACACACACACTGCTACACACACACCGCTACACACACACACACCGCTACACACACACACTGTTACACACACACACAGTGTTACACACACACACACACTGTTACACACACACAGTGCTACACACACAGTGCTACACATACACACACACTGTTACACACACACAGTGTTACACACACACCGCTACACACACACACACCGCTACACACACACACTGTTACACACACAGCGGCGCTGGCAAGCGCTGCACTCTCGCGAGGAACACGCAGATGGAACAGATGGAAAGGGAACCTTCTTCGCTCGCTAACCCAGGCGGGGGCGGATGGGGGGGCGTGAACTCGACATCGATGACTTCGGCGGTTCGTAGCCCCTCGCGAAGGGAAAGTCTCTGTCTGTGTGTGTGTCTGTGTGTGTCTCTGTGTGTGTCTGTGTGTGTGTGTCTGTGTGTCTGTGTGTGTGTCGGTCTGTGTGTCTGTGTGTGTGTGTCTGTGTGTGTGTCTTGTGTGTCTCTGTCTGTGTGTCTGTGTGTGTCTCTGTGTGTGTGTCTGTGTGTGTCTGTGTGTCTCTGTCTGTGTGTGTGTCTGTGTGTGTCTCTCTGTGTGTGTCTATGTGTGTGTGTCTATGTGTGTGTGTCTCTGTGTGTTTGTCTGTGTGTGTGTCTCTGTGTGTGTGTGTGTGTCTGTCTGTGTATGTGTGTCTCTGTCTGTGTGTGTGTATCTGTGTCTGTGTCTCTGCGTGTGTCTAGAGAGCCCCGCGCGAGCCGTGCCCGTCGTGAACTCTGCGTGAACCCCCACAGAGGCAGCAGCAGCAGCAGCCGCTGCGACTCCCCGCCGCTGCTAAATCGTGGCGGCGGTTGTTGAACGAGGGCTGCCGCCGCTGCTGATGAGACCCAGAAGGGGCGAGACCGCCGCGGGCGGGGCTCGCTTGCTCAAGCAAACGCTGCCGCTGGATTACGGTATTGGAGGATCGTTTTCGGGATGATGTTCGACGTTTCGCTCCACGTGCTGGGGAGCTGCTGCTGGGATTGCTCAAACGCAGGGTGTGTGGTGGTGGGGGGCTCTGTGTGTACAAGTGGAGACTGGGGGGGGAGGGTGCTGGTGGTGGTGGTGGTGCTGCTTGTGGTGGTGGTGGTGCTGGTGGTGGTGGTGCTGCTTGTGGTGGTGGTGCTGCTGCTTGTGGTGGTGGTGCTGGTGGTGGTGCTGCTTGTGGTGGTGCTGTTTGTGGTGGTGGTGCTGCTGCTTATGGTGGTGCTGTTTGTGGTGGTGGTGCTGCTGCTTGTGGTGGTACTGTTTGTGGTGGTGCTGTTTGTGGTGGTGGTGCTGCTTGTGGTGGTGCTGCTTATGGTGGTGCTGTTTGTGGTGGTGGTGCTGCTTGTGGTGGTGCTGTTTGTGGTGGTGCTGTTTGTGGTGGTGGTGCTGCTGCTTGTGGTGGTGCTGTTTGTGGTGGTGCTGCTTGTGGTGGTGCTGCTGCTTGTGGTGGTGCTGCTTATGGTGGTGCTGTTTGTGGTGGTGGTGCTGCTGCTTGTGGTGGTGCTGTTTGTGGTGGTGCTGTTTGTGGTGGTGGTGCTGCTGCTTGTGGTGGTGCTGTTTGTGGTGGTGCTGCTGTTTGTGCTGCTGCTTGTGGTGGTGCTGCTTGTGGTGGTGGTGCTGCTTGTGATGGTGGTGCTGCTTGTGATGGTGGTGCTGCTTGTGGTGGTGGTGCTGCTTGTGGTGGTGGTGCTGCTTGTGGTGGTGGTGGCCTCGGCTCAGAGGCCGACCCAGAAACGTCCCAACGCGAGGGCTGGGAGAGCGGCTCCCTCCCTCCGACACGAGTAACAGCAGCAGCATCATCGCGTGTCGTCTCTCTGTGCTAAATATCAATAAACACGGATGGTCAGGGTCTCAAGAGGAAGTGAGTGGGGAGTGGAGGGTAGCCCCCCATGGCCCTCCCCCTGTGAGCCGCCACTGCCCAGGCTGGTGGCGGTGGAGGGGGGCAGGTTGGGGGGGGGGCTTTAGCCCCCCCCTCCAATTAGCGCGGTAGGCTACGTACGGTGCGAAGGAAGTTCAACATAGATGCACACATCATGGGACCTCCCTTGCCAGTATTCTTTCTTTTTCTTCTTTTTATTTTTTATTTTTTTATATATAAAAGTCTCTGCGCGCTCGCGCTTGCGGGGGATTTGGCTCTCGGACGGTGGGCTATATGTAGAAACAAAATTTGCCAGGCGGCACGCCCTAAGCCCCGCGGTGGGAATAGGCTATTTCATTTTCCCATCCCTAAACTTTAAAGTAGTTTAATTAACACATTTGTGCCGTTTTATTATTTATTTACTTATTGCGCGACATCGACCGTACCAACTGACGCCAATTGCGTGGGGGGGCGGACCCTGCCAAGTGCTGTGCCTTCGCTCGAGCTCACGGGGGACATTTCCTTTTATGCGTTTTACAGCCAATACATACACACATAACGCTGCGGATATTTCTTCAGTGTCATGTCTTCTTCGCCCCCCCTAACACGATGCGTCCAGTTTATAGTACAGACTCCGTAGATAATAATATTTTAGTGCTTACATTACATTATTCTTGCACGGGCGGGGGATGCTGGGGGGGTAGCGGCCCAGCCCCTAGCCTGGCAACGTGCCAACTCCACCTCCTCGCCAATGTAGGCCAGGACGGGGACTACGAATGGCACAAGGCCTCAACACGCCTATGGCAAGTACAAAGTTCCTTGCTTCTTACGCTAACAACTCAAGTCCATTGTTTACTATTGTTAAACACATTAGTTGACAAACATTACTATAATAATGTTTGTGTGCATATACGAACTCACATTGATTGCTTACTATTATCAAACAAATACGTTGGGAGATATTATAATAATAATGTTTGTGTGCACAAAACTCTTTATTTTTAGGTTGCTAAATTTTCCCTTTTTTTGCTGCGCTTTTATGACGCTGCGACGGTCTGCCAGTCTGTGATGTGGCCTTGTACGTCCATGTGTATGTGTGTGTCAGTCCATATGTGTGTGTGTTAGTCCACATGTGTATGTAAGTCTATACATGTGTGTGTCACTCGATGTGTGTGTGTAAGTCAATGCGTTTGTGTGAGTCCATATGTGTGTGTTCATCCATGTCTGTGTATCTCAAGTAGATGTCTGTGTGTCACATGTGTATGTGTGTAGGGCTGTGTGTGTGTCAGTCTATCTATGTGTGTCTAAGTCCATGTGTGTGTGTCTTAGTCCATATGTGTGTGAGTAAGTACATATGTGTGTTTACGTCAATGTGTGTGTGAGTCCACGTATGTATGTGTGTGAGTCGCTGTATGTGTGTACGTCCATATGTGTGAGTGTGTCTGAGTCCATGTGCGTGTGTGTTAGTTGATGTGTGTGCATGCCTCCATGTTAGTCAGTGTAAGTCAATTTCTTTGCGTGTCTGTAGGCCCATGTGTGCATCTTAGTCCATGTGTGTGCTTTATTGACCTGCTCAAGGCCTATGATACCATCAGTAGGCTGGCCTCTGGATTGTTCTTCGTGCTTTCAGAGTCCCTCACCCACTGCTCACCATCCTTAAGGACCTTCATGATGGTGAGCGGCCCCGCGTCAAACTACGTGGCCGTGAGTCAGAGCCATTCCCTGTACACCTTGGGGTGCTACAGGGATATCCTCTGGCTCCCACATTATTTTACATATATTTGGACCACGTAGTTCGTGAAGCCTTCAATGGCTGTACCGCTACAATTTCCATCTGGTACAGATACAATGGGAGGCTGATCAATGCCCGGGTGCGGTCAAGGGATGGCTCCCTATTGCTCAACCACGTTATGTATGCCGATGATCTGCTAATTGCTGCTCACTCGGAGGAGGAGTTCGAGGTGCTGCTGCTGAACCTGGAGCTTGCCACCAAGAGGTGGGGCCTTACCATCAGCCCCACCAAAACTAAGCACCTGCCTGGGTATTTTCTACCATCGGACACTCCACCCCCACAACTCCCAATTGGTGATGGGACAGTTGTGGAGACGGTGGAGAGTTTCCCATACCTTGCCAGTGTGCTAATGACCGGCTCTGGTTTAACAGCAGACGTCTCACTCAGAATCAGTCGAGCCACATTATCTTTTCATTGGTTGCGTAACACTATGTGGAAGCTACCTAGTCTATCGCTCTGCACGAAGCTTCAGGTCTTCTCGGCCACGGTCATTCCCTCCCTTCTCTACGCTTGCGCCCCCCTAATGGAACATCTTCGCCGGTTAGAAACATTTAGGATGGTCTGCCTACGATCCATCCTGGATTTAACCAGGCTGCATTGTGAGGAGTTCACAAATCCTTGAAAGATGTGGACAAAGTCCCATCGGTGAGCTCCTCTGCCAGGTAAGGCTGCGTTGCCTGAGTCGCATGACCAGACACTCGAGCACGGGGGGGGGGCCCTCGGGGGGGGGGGGGCAGCCGGCGGCCTCTGGCACCGTCCCCCC